TGATATCTATGGATAAAAGTTCAGATGTGCCTTGGAATGGTGATTTGTTCAGGGTTTAGCGCACCTCTCATCCATGATAGTGGGGTTAGGATCAAGTCTGCATGAATGGATGGAAGTATTTTTTTTAGATAAAAATTGCTCAGTTACATTAACCTTTGCTGAGTTAAACCCAGCCCTGCGCTAAATTAATCCCGCTGTGCCATTCTTCAGAGCAGCATGACCTCATTACTAGTTGAGCTGAGGTTGCCAAGACATGTCACCTTCTTTACAGAAACGAGTCATTGAATAACTACAGACACCCACACAGCCTGCCTGTATCCACTCAAAAAACACTGCAATAACAGTGGGCGTTGGCCACCGTGTTATCTTTTCCGTGGTTTGATTGTGTGAGGGGAACACGCTGTGTTTGAGGACAGCTGATGTAAAACGATGAGTAAACAGGGCTTTCGCATTTGCCAGCAGCTGTTGGGTCAGACGCCAAATGATGGGCAACGTAGCCGTTTGTACAGTCCCTGCTGGGGTTACTCAGATAACAAATGACTTATCATCACAGCCTGTGCATCTTCTCATTTAGCCTGACAGTTCCAGTGGCTTTGTTTCTGTGTATTCTTCACAAAGGGGGTCAGTAGAAGTATTATTATTATAATTTGCTCAAGATAGCATCCTTAATAGTTTTAGTGAGCTGTCTGAATAGATAACTCTTAACTTGAACAGAAGTATATAGTGTATCTATATTTATAAAATATACAGGGGTCCCAAGCATGTATTAGCACCTGTAGTAATCATGCACGACAACACAAGTAGAGAAATTCACAAAACACTCCTGAATCTATTTTAGCACAGCTCAAGGTTACACCATCACTCAAAGCAGCTGGTGCAGGAAATAAGAAGAAGAAAGAAAAGTTATGTTGAAGTGTGTAGAAAAGCTGTGACTGCATTCACCCGGCTTTTATAACTGCACTGATCCTCCTTCACAAAGGTGGCAAACACTAACCAAAATCAATCCATAGGAAACGAATACACAATGAATACACAATCACTAGATGTGTTCTACAACAAGAACTACATAACACAGGCACTTGGATTACAGTATCATCTCCTTCCCTGTTTCATTTCCTGGAAAGATAATGTACATCCTGGGACAGGGCAGTAAAAGTACAACTTCCTGAAACACACGGAATAATTATCAGGGAGTTTGCACAATACATTTACGCTCACAGGCTGAGTCTGCAGGCCTTTTCGCTCTTGTATCATATTACCACGCCATCATTCTAGTTACTTAAGTCATGTGTTATTTGAGTTTACCAACTTTGGCATGAATAAAGTACGACTTAGCTTATAACTTATAGTAGCAATTAATCCTTGCAGTCACGCCAGACAGTGTAAACAGAACAAAGTCCACGCTATGTAGTGATCTGATCTATGTGGAAGTGCTCTCCCGGGAGTCAGAGCTCAGAGTGGGTTTATCTCCAGTAACACCAGTGCCACAGGTCTCTGTGTGCTGCTCAGTGGCTTCATCCTGACAGGAAGGCAGGGCAGTGGCTTCCCCTTGGATGGAGCTGGATTTGTGAGATGAGCTAGGGGAGTTGGTGGGGCTGAGCTGGACAGCTGTCGTGTCCTGAAGCGTGTGCTCGCTCGTCTCCATCTCAAAAGCAACTGCCCCCATCCTCATCAGCGCCCATTTCTCACCTCCTTTGGCCTTATGGGCAGTGTGGGCTTGAGGTCTCCTGCTGATGACACAGCAGGCTGTAAAGAAAGCCAGCGCTATGAGTAAAAGAAGAGGCCCAATGAAGATGGGAGGATTGCTTGTAGGGATAAAGGTACCAAACGCAAAAGCTCCCACCAGGGTGATGTTGATGCCAGCCAGCATGATGCACAGCCCACAGGCGCAGCACAGGGCTGGAGAGGGCATGCTCTGGTGCCTCGGAGCATGCTGCTCGGGGGTCTTCTTGGGAGCAGATGAACTGGAGTTTTTTTCAGGTAGCACCATGTCTCAGGAGAGCTCAGAGAAGCTGTTGATCAGACAAATGGCTGAAAATAGATCATTTGATCTCTTTAGAAAGAGAGGCTGAAAAGTAACATGACACATTTTAGAAGCAGTGCAAATGTTTTAAAGACTTTTCATTCTTCTGATTTTGAACTCTGGCAACTTTTTTTTTCTTCCAAAGTAATTTCTTAGCTGTTAAAAAACTGTGAGCATTCCCGTCCAATTAAACGCATTAGTTATGAGACTTTAAACCTCAACAACATTAAAGCGCGAATACAATTCATCGAAGGCAACAACGCTGATAATGCCAAGTGAGAATCTGCAAATATAAAAACAGTCTTGTTCTCTCGCCGATGGTCCACAGACACACACACAAACCTGAAAGCAACACTTGCTGCAAAATTTCTCTGCACCATTCTGTGTCGCTTACCTTACATCGGACACATGACTCTGGCCGTTTGGGCGCTTTGTCCGTGTGTCATGTTGCACAGGAGCGGCGGGTGTGATCTGCTCCTCCTGCAGGTGAGCAGCGGAGTGATCTGCAGCTGATGCACTGCTTAATATCGGCCACTGGCTGCGCTGTGGAGCTGCTTCAAACAAACAGCCCAATCACAGCCATCACCCTCTGAAGTGCTTAAGCTTCTAACGTGTCACATTAAAGGTGCTCTCGGGAAAAGTGGAAACACACACACCACTGCACTCCTACATCTATCTGATGTTTATTTCCTTAAATCTAATGATGGGAAAAGTTTGTGAAACCTGGGTTATTAAAGTGCAAAAAAGAAAAAAGGCTCGAGACTATGGCCTCGCTCCTCTTTCTCCTTTGCTTTTCAAAGAAGTCTCAGCAAGGACACGGCCTCTGTTTCTTACCAGTGTGCGTAGAGGTTATTCACCATCTCCTGTCCCCTCCTCAGCTGTTTAGTCCAAAACAATGAGTTGTTACCATTTATCACTCCTGACTGAAATAAATCTTTGTAAACTAAAGCACATCTGCTGCAGTGAAAACAAAAATCCATTTGCTCACGTCTTGTGAACGAGACCTTTGAGTGCACAACACAGTAATATTGTCTTGATGTAACACAGCTTAGACAAGAAGAGCTTTTTATTGAGAACACAACATGCCAGTGAAAACACGCTCTACACATGAGAGCTTTATGCATAGGACCCCATATGAGCTTTGACACATTTCAGAGCGACTCTATAATCGCATACCAATTACTGCATCTCATTCTAGGCCATCTCAAGTAGACGGAGGGAAACAAACAGCTTCTTTTATGAATCATACTAGTGTGGGGGCTTTATCATAGCAAGCAGTCGTTTCCTAACATGTGTATTCATTCTGAGCAAATCTCCATCAATTCATGCCAGCCTATGAAGGCCCTTAGTTGCTATAGGGATGGGTTGTCCATGGCAACAGTGTGAAATAAGGGAATGAGTTGGCACTGGCACATAAACTTTGTAAGGTACGATAAACAGGAGTCTTTGGAGATCCCATTCAAACACAGACAGTCTAAATTATAAGACAACATAAAGAAAAAGTAGCTTCTTCTAAAAACAAAATCAAAAATCAGAAAATATCAAAGAATTCTCAGTTCATCCATAACAGTTTCCATTGGCACAGACAAAATCAAAACAGGGACGATTAAAAAAATATTTAACAGTTTTATAAACTCACTTCACAGAATGGAATCACGTATCTCACTAGTGTAACATAAACTATTCTCTCATCCCTTTAAACCAGCCATGCAGGGCTTGTAACAGGTAGATTACACAGATACCATCAACAAGTGCTTGTGATGCAAATCTAGAACAAGGAAAGGCTTATCCACCGCTAAACGTTTCTACTCGCTGTCAACCGCTTTCCCTCCCAGTGACACTTATCTGAAGCAGCAAACGATCTCGCTCAGTCCCGTTCTACTTTTTTAAGCCACACCATTTGCTTTAGCTGCAGCTCTTTTGAGGACTGGCAAACCCAGTCACTGCTGGTTGATCTAAGCCAGCGAGCCAGCCCAGGAATCAGGAACACTACAAAATACAGAGACCATACCTGCTGCTCATAGGGTGAATAATCTTTGTGTGCACACATTAACATTATATATAAAAGTCCCACAGTTCAGCTTTAAGTCTCATGAACTGCATAAAACTTAAAACAAATGCAATTTTCACATTTCAAGTAATTTAGACTTAAAAAATATATATATAAGATCACTAAGACAATAAGAAATTAAGCAAAACCTCTTGGAATAATCTGCATCACAACACCAAACATGACCTCCAACGAGAAGTTATAGCAAAAGCGCTGAAAAGATAAATACTATTTTTAAGTGTCAAATTCATATCATTGGTGAAGCTTTAAAAACACAAGAACCTCCCATTCTGGGCAAACTAAATAAGATATTTATTTTAAAGTACATCAGTGCTGCAGGTAGCTTGTATTGACATGAAGAAAAAAAACTTTAAGATCCAGTCTCACTCCATGAGTTTCTGCAACCTCCAGCCACACTCTCAGGTAGTCATGAAGACACAGCTCGACAAAAGAGTCAACAGGTAAAACAGGGGAAAGGCCCTGTTTAACCCTCAGACTCCTCTAAGTGTTGTCTGTTTTTATCACTTAAATCACATACATTCACACATAAAAATCATATAAAAAAAAAAGAAAAGAAAACATGCTTTAAAAAAGCAACAAAAAAAATCCCTTTTCTTTAGTCACTAAAAAGCTTTCAAATAAAATAACTAATTCACAGCTGGAAAAACAAGTAATAAAATAAAATAAAATCTACCTATAAGACGATATTGCATTAAAGCAGCAGCTGCTGCTGCGTAGCTGTCCTGATTCTTAAAATGCTGTTTTTGGTGTTGATATGTATTTTAGTAAAAACTGCTGGCACTGAGAGCAGTTTCTGGTGTTTTGGGTAACGATGACTAACCCAACCTGTGAAGACAATACATAAATTTCTTAAAGCCAAAGTTGTTCTGAAAGAAAATCAAACCTTTGTTAAAAATACTCATCAGCTTAAAGTAACTCCTGGCCAAATCCTGGAAGTTTTACTGTTTTCTATTAGTAGGCAGAAGCTGAGGTTTAACTGCGCACTTGATGTTCAAACTCTCACTGATAAGACTACTGGCCAAGGAGAGGACTTTCAACAACAGAGACACTTTCCATACTGTGTGACCAATCCTACAAGGCTCCCTATAAAAATAAAAATCCACACAGGAGGTAACTAAAATTATTCAGATAACACGATAAGGAGGTTAAGGACCCTCAGGCTGTGGCGTCATCTGAAGTGGGTGCAAAGTCTCCGTGCCGGAGAGCACTGGACTGTGCCCGTCTGCGAGCCAGCCTGGAGTTAGAAGGAGGAGAAAGCCTCATGGAGCAAACGATGGCTCCGACGTCCTCCCGCTGCTCCTCGTGCTGGGATAGCTGCCGGTTGAAGGCGATGGCTTCTGCTGCAAACTGGGTCAGATCTTTGGTGCTGCTGTTCCTAGAACAAGAAAGAAGGCAGAAAAAGATATGAGAGACATCTAAGCACATTTCTGCCACTTCTCACTTTAATAATGTGATTAGAATAAAGTATCCTAGATCCTTGTTTCATCTATCCCAATATTTTCCATCTTAAAAAACAAAAAAACAAAAACAAAAACCATCTTGAAGCAGAGAGAACCTGAAATTGTTCTCAAAATTAAAAAAAAAAAGTTGTTCATAAACAAAGGTATGTGCAGAAACTCTAGTTTCCTATGAAAAACCACAAACACTAAAGGTCTGATTCTACTTCAACCACAGAAACGGAGCTAAAATAAAGACAGACCTCTGCAGAACACGAGGAGTTGGAAGACCTCTCTCTGGAGCATTCTGGAAAAAAATAAATAAATAAAAGAAAGAAAGAAAAAAAAAACTCACAGCTGGAAAATAAGGACAATAATTCCAGCTGTCTAACATTAGACAAGTAGTGCTCAAATGTAATTATACCCACCCCCTGCACCCAAGGGTGCTTGAGGACCTGAGCAGCACTGAGGCGCAGAGTGGCGTCCCGAACCAACAGCTTTGATATGAGGTCCTTGGCACCCACTGTGATGTGGGCCCAGTCCTTGTCTGGAAATTCATATTTGCCCTGCTGGATGCTCTCAAACAGGTGACTCTGAGGGGAGAAGATCAAATAACCTGCTGATAAGTACATGCCATTTACACACACACACACACACACACACGCGCGCGCACGCACGCTGCATTATTGTGCTGCATTCATTTTTGTAATGGTGTTGTCATTCTGTTGTGCATTATAAATTCAGACCTCACACCTTCTTTACAAAAGTGAGCTTTTTCTCCAAGCAGCACAAAATTCAATAAACCAAACCAAAACTCCGCTCAAGCCAAGATAATGGAAGAAGAACCGACGACATCCATCTAGATGAAGTGAAAGCTAAAACAAGGTTTTCCCTGGTAAATCTACAGAACCTCTTCCCATTTCTTCTCAGCCCTAATACTCTACTACAAAACAAAAAAACAAAACCCCAAACTGTACTGAAAGTGTTTGGCTTTTCTGAATAATTCACATAAGAGCATTTGACATATGGGTCAACAGCTAAAGCCAAATCAGCCGTAGTGCTCCTATACATCGGCTTTTCTCTTTTTTTTTTTTTTTTTTTTAAAAAGAGATTTCAACCTACATCTAAGCCTAACTTTACCTACATTACTAATTATGTTTCTTAATTAAGCCAGTATACAGCAAAAAAAGAAAATTTTTTAGTTACTTTATTTGAACTGTCTACCATGGACAAATCATGTGTTCTTTTAAGACCTCTAGTCTGTAGTTTTATATTATTTATAATGTCTTCATTTCAGAATGATAAGCGGGGACACACAGTGAATCTCTGGTGCAAACACTGCTGAGCTGAGCAATTATCCATGGGATGGATGCTAAACAACAGTGCTGATTGGAGGGGGCATACCTGGCATGTTCTGCATCTTTCTCCCCGATCCCAGCCACAGTCAGAGCCACAGTGTCCTGTGAAGGGTGGGCTGCCACTCAGTAAGATGTAGAGGATGACCCCGAGGCTCCACAGATCGCAGCGTTTGTCGTAGAAGGAGGCCTCATCAGTGAACACCTCGACTACTTCTGGAGCCATGTACTCTGCCGAGCCACACTGAGAGAGGGCAAAGATCAAAAGCAAAGAAGAGGTAAGTCAGTGTAATCCCTTATTAGTTAATTGGACAATATTATGTGTCTATACTTGGCCAACAATTTAGAATTAGACACTTACTGGTGTTGTGAGCTCTGGGGTTGTTATGGGTGTACAGGCACTGCTGAGCTTTACTCCACTTCCTAGATCAAAGTCACAGATCTTTACTGGCGACACCTAAGTAGAAAGAGAGTAAATATATGATTATGTTGTTAAATTATAAACCTTAAGGGATAATTAATGCCTTTCTCAACTCATTAAATGCCAATTACCTGATCAGTGTATTCACAGAGTATGTTTTCTAGCTTAAGGTCTCTATGGGCAATGCCTGCAAACAAAAACACTGTCACCTTTACACTCAAAAACAAAACCTCTATTTCCTTTGGATTTCAGCAGAACACCTGCTTGAATTTTGACCTACCTTTTGTGTGTAAAAAGTCGAGAGCTTGGGCAATATCTTTCACTACCTTACTAGCCTCCAGTTCATCAAAGTGCTTTCGGTTTTGGATATGTGTAAGAATAGAACCTGCAGAAAGAGAAGAGGATCACTCACGGGTATATTTGTGCGCTCATAATGAGCCATCTGGCAACAGCTCTGTTTGCATTACATAACTGTTGTGTTAATTATTCACACTTACCACCACGCAGCTTTTCAAATACCAAATAAAAGCAGTTGTTGTCCTCAAAGAATTCAATCAATTCCAAAATATTCCTGGACAACGATATGTTTAGGTGATCAGAATTGTTTTTATTCTGGATAAGTTTTCTTTTCTCTCTCATTTTTTTTTTTAAAATATTAATCAGACAAAAATCAACTCACTTATTTCCTTGACACTGATAAAGAGTCTCCACTTCTCGAAAGACTCTGCTGCGGCTGTGTCCTGCACTCTTTTCTATGATCTATGAAGGCGAGCAGCAGAAATTGTGATTCAATGGACATTTTGATTGACTTTAATAAAAAAAAAAAAAAAAAAAAATGCAGTACAGCTTTAAAGAAAATGTTGCCATTAAAGAGCAACCCAACCTGTTCAAATGACATTTAAATTTGGCAAAACTGTCCCTACTTACCTTCACGGCATACTCATGTCCATTCTGCAGGCTGATACATCCTTGAACTTTAGCATATGCTCCCTGGCCGAGCACCTCATGAGTCAATTTGTAGAGATCTGAAGAAAATATGAAGTGTTGGTCAATTTTCCTGCTTTCACACGTACTGCATGTGTTTCAGTTTTAGCCTACTTACCATCAAAAGTGCCAGTGGAGCTGTCTGTCGCTCTAGTTCTTTTCTTCTTCTTTCGTTTACCTGTATCTGGGATGTTCACTGGCTGGCTTTTTTCACACTCTGTAGAGGCAGAAATGAATCCATACACACAAATTAAAACATTGCAATTTTTTTGCACAGTGCTCTCGCTTTGTAAAGTTTACAAAGCTATAGAAATGCTAGGAAAAGTAAAGCATTTGTACCTGCTGGGTCTTGGGAAAGATTCTGTCTTTCCTCTGAGGTATTTCGGTTCTCCTGAATGCTCCCACAGTTTTGCCCTACTTGGCCCAAAGCAAGGGAGTTACCCTGTTACAGAGAAGGAGGCCATACGGGGGGGACAGGGGGAGGGAATAGTGCAAAATCAGCCAGTGATCAATGTTGGTACAGTAGAGAAAAAGCAAATGAAAAAAGCAAAAAAGGAAAATTTTAATTTGGCCTTGGTAATAAATACTAAAAATAAACACTAATCCATAATATAATAAAATGTTCTGTACATATCATAGGCTTGCAACTGTAAAATGACTAACTGCAGTTATAGGGATGCATCACCACTACTTTGATCATTTCAACCACCTATGGCAGTCTGCCAAAACAGTGATCAATATGATAATACTGGAAACTCCGTGACAGGCCTTATCTGAACTTTACCAGAAACATTCAAACAACAGGGCACAGTGCTTTGATGAAACTACTGTGCACCATTTTCTGGTCCTTTTATCTTATCAGACATGTTTCAGGAAGTCAGCTTTTGTAATCACCACTAATCATAGAGTAGATCACCTGGAGGGAGGGCTGGAACTCCGTCATCACGCCGTGCCTCACCATATCTGCCAACTGCCACATACAAATATAGTTAGTCACGTAAACATACGTAACAACTAAATACAATGCAGTGATGAGGCAAAAGGCTAGAGCAATGGAGAAGACACCGCCCAGCGTTAGCTTATGTGTTCCAGTTTCCTCTTTCTTTCATTCTTTGGTATTACATTGTGTATCGCTCTGAGTTTGCGGTTACTGTTCATCTACATGACCGCAGAATATTCACTTACAGCAAAGTTTATTGAATTAGTTAGTTCATACTAGTTAAATGTTATGTTTCGGTTAGAAAAACACAAAACTGATAATTAGCTGTTAGCTAATGGAGTTATACCAGCAGTTTGTATCGATACTGAAGTTAATAAATATGTGTACGGACAGCCAACAACGTCCACTTAGATAATTACTTAACATTAGCAACGTTGTCCTAGTTACCAGGAGGGAATTCTGTATAAAAGATCATTACGGCATTACAAAAGCCAGAGCTAGCGGTGGCTGCCTACTATAGCTGTTGTTAGCCCCAGCTAGCAAGAAAGAACTCAGATAGCTTGCTAAACCGATTTACATGACCAGTTTCTAACTGTATTCAGAGACTGTTTAAGCGACGTTAAAATAAAACCACAAATGCAACAAACCCTTCAAACGTGGACTCCACGCCAGCCAAATCCCTGCAGTCAAAGCCTGTGACAGCTGATGTAAGTTCCCATTGCTTTCTGTTATCAATCAGTCCAAACAGCTGATGACGTACCGGGCGGGAAAACGCGAGAGCAGACGTTTGCCCCGCCCCTTTCCGGATTAACTCCTCTCCCATTGGTAGCGTGACCGCACTGATGCAACGTCACTTGGCAGGGTTCGTCACCACGCCTCAGTCCACGTAGTGGGGATTTTTGGTGCATGATGATGGCCTTTATTTATCCATGTAACAGGTTTGGCAAGTGAGCAGTGATAATAAGTATGCTATATCTGTTGTTGTTGTGATTTTCTTTTTCCTGCGAAAATGAAAGCAGACGCGATTGGCTGATGGGAAGAACTTTTATGCCCTTAAATCAGATTTTAAACAGTGAAAACACATCGTACAAAATACAAACTCTGGTCAACGAGAAAACAAACAATGCATCAAAACTTACACGAAGATAAAACATATACATGCACAAGAGGAAAGACAGAGTACAGGAGATGCAGTGTATAAAACAATACAGAATAATGAGGAAACTCACAGCACCATAATGAATGTGAAGTGAAAAGTTCTGTAAAGGAACTTTGCCACCATCTGCAGAAGTCTACTGAGTTTATGGGCCATGTCATATGCTTGGAAACCACTCGTACAAGTGTACACAAAGCAGTTCTCTGTCTGGTGTTTTGATGCGGAAGTTTTCTCAAGGGGCTCAGATAACGTCATAATGTAAACTCCTTTGTCCATGTGGCTTTGTCTAATTGCATATCTTCTCTGTCATCTCTTTCTGCAGGAAAAGAAAAAGAGGAGATGTTAATAGATAGAGTCTAATATGTTGTTTGAGAAAATGAATATTTACACCGTCATGATTCTGAGAAAGAAAGCAGTTGCTCCTTGAAGACTAAAAACAAACATAATTTCCTGGGGCACAAGAGGTGGGGCAATAAAACGAGGTCTATTCAAAAGATTTATCTTTATGCAGCGTGTTGACATTAATGCCTTGTCCCTGTTTTCACATTGCAGGGGGAATTATGCAGCCCAAGCGAGGTAATGATGATAACTGCAGCTTTTTATTGACACTTGGAACACCATTCCCCATCAGCTCACATGCGATAGAGGCTCCTTAGTTGGAAAACAGAAACAAGTACAATCTTTAATCACATGACTATCCAAAGTCAGCAGATTCTCTTATGAGTCTTTTCTCATCAGACCTAGCCATTTCCTGGATACATTTTGTTCATGCTGGAAAACTGAGTGAAAACTAATTAAATTTGTGTGTCATATGGAATATATTATCTTAGTGAGAACGCTATGAGCTTCAGACTGAGTGATTTTATTGTCGGTGCCTTCTATGTACAGTGGCTTGCAAAAGTATTCGGCCCCCTTGAACCTTCCCACATTTTGTCACATTACAGCCACAAACATGAATCAATTTTATTGGAATTCCACATGAAAGACCAACACAAAGTGGTGCACACGTGAGAAGTGGAATGAAAATCATACATGATTCCAAACCTTTTTTTTTTACAAATAAATAATTATTCAGCCCCCTGAGTCAATACTTTGTTGAACCACCTTTTGCTGCAATTCCAGCTGCCAGTCTTTTAGGGTCTGTCTCTACCAGCTTTGCACATCTACAGACTGAAATCTTTGCCCATTCTTCTTTGCAAAACAGCTCCAGCTCAGTCAGATTAGATGCACAGCGTTTGTGAACAGCAGTTTTCAGATCTTGCCACAGATTCTCGATTGGATTTAGATCTGGACTTTGACTGGGCCATTCTAACACATGGATATGTTTGGTTTTAAACCATTCCATCGTTGCCCTGGCTTTATGTTTAGGGTCGTTGTCCTGCTGGAAGCTGAACCTCCGCCCCAGTCGCAAGTCTTTTGCAGACTCCAAGAGGTTTTCTTCCAAGATTGCCCTGTATTTGGCTCCATCCATCTTCCCATCAACTCTGACCAGCTTCCCTGTCCCTGCTGAAGAGAAGCACCCCCAGAGCATGATGCTGCCACCACCATATCTGACAGTGGGGATGGTGTGTTCAGAGTGATGTGTTGTGTTAGTTTTCCGCCACACATAGCGTTTTGCATTTTAGCCAAAAAGTTCCATTTTGGTCTCATCTGACCAGAGCAGCTTCTTCCACATGTTTGCTGTGTCCCCCACATGGCTTGTGGCAAACTGCAAACGGGACTTCTTATGGTTTTCTGTTAACAATGGCTTTCTTCTTGCCACCATAAAGGCCAACTTTGTGCAGTGCACGACTAATAGTTGTCCTATGGACAGATTCCAGAGTCACCATGGGCCTCTTGGCTGCATTTCTGATCAGCGCACTCCTTGTTCGGCCTGTGAGTTTAGGTGGATGGCCTTGTCTTGGTAGGTTTACAGTTGTGCCATACTCCTTCCATTTCTGAATGATCGCTTGAACAGTGCTCCGTGGGATGTTCAAGGCTTGGGAAATCTTTTTGTAGCCTAAGCCTGCTTTAAATTTCTCAATAACTTTATCCCTGACCTGTCTGGTGTCTAAATCCAATCAAGAATCTGAGGCAAGATCTGAAAACTGCTGTTCACAAACGCTGTCCATCTAATCTGACTGAGCTGGAGCTGTTTTGCAAAGAAGAATGGGCAAGGATTTCAGTTGCTAGATGTGCAAAGCTAATAGAGACAGACCCTAAAAGACTGGCAGCTGGAATTGCAGCAAAAGGTGGTTCTACAAAGTATTGACTCAGGGGGCTGAATAATTACACACACCCCACTTTGCAGTTATTTATTTGTAAAAAAGGTTTGGAATCATGTCTGATTTTCGTTCCACTTCTCACGTGTGCACCGCTTTGTGTTGGTCTTTCATGTGGAATTCCACTAAAAATGATTCATGTTTGTGGCTGTAATGTGACAAATTGTGGAAAATTTCAAGGGGGCAGAATACTTTTGCAAGCCACTGTATGTACGCTAAACTGGAAAACACACCTACTCAAAGATGAACAATAAGCACATCAAACATTCACGCAGCTGGGATAAAGCTGGCAAGATGGTAGATATTCTCTGCTAGACTGACAGTTCCTCCGTTACAAAACCTCCATCTGATCCTTTTTCATATGCATCCTCACTTCACACTCATACATCTGATGTCTCACCAGAGGCTCCAGCTCAGAGTGATCAATGAGGTTGAACTCTGAGATGAAATAATAATAGTGTTTGTAGCAGGTATTGATGTGGGCCTCTGCACCCATACTGCAGATGCTGTCAAAGTGATGGATGTAAACGTGCACAAACACCCGGAAGAGACGGCTCAGGATCTTCTTGCACACCTGCTGGAAGTTCTTGGGGAAAGGTACTCCTAGGATGAAGAAGGAAAACAATAAGATATAAAAGGACTTCTATTCAGAAGCTGGTCTAATAAAATAATAGATTTGATAAAGGAAACTGTAGGACTCAATTGTAAATGGATTTACCATGTATGCAGATTTAAAAAGCATCATTAATCATGCTTATCTACAATAGGGCTATTAATCTACCGAATTTCCTAAATAATCTATTGAATAGTTTGTGTTTCAATCCCAAAACACTTAATAAAAAATATCTGTGTTTTGTGCTGAAGAGCTGAAAAGGCCGTGTGAAGAACAATCTAATTATTCGTATTTAATTTCTAAGCAAAGCGAAGACAGCATTGCTGTCTTATTCTCCCTCAGGTCCATGGAGGATTGTGATAACTGAGCAAACGGAGGGACAGAAACACCCTGAAGGAGTTGTCAAGCACTAACACACAACCAAAACCCATTCACACTCGTGGGAAATGTTTTCATCATACCTGACTAGCATGTCTAGGCTTGACATAAGAAAAGAGAAGTCCCAGAATGTCAGTGCTAACCACTGCGCCACAGAGAGGCTCTGAGCTCACGCTTCTGTGACGCATGAAGTTCTCACCTCTAATTTAACACTATGATCACCTTGTCAACAACCCCCTCTAAATGTCAACATTTTATTGTCTAATTAACCTCTCCTTGAACTCAATCATTGCATTCGTGAGCTTAATGAAGGAGACAACCTCTGCACTCTGTGCTGATACTTTAGTATAAAATCTCTGCAGCCAGCACTCAGTCATGTATTAGCTTACGCACTCAAGAGCAGTCCGATGGTTTCATTTGTAAACTCCTCACACACACCTACTCTTGTGGGGAAGATTTCCTCATTATTGATCAGTGACTCTATCCAGTCCATCAGCAGATTCATGTACTTGAGAGCAGGCAGCTTGGTGGGTCTCTTGTAGTCTTTACCGTCCTGCCATCTGTACTCATATCTCAGTCCCCCAGACATGATAGGGCACGTGCGCTCGCTGCAGTACTCGCTCACTGTGCCATAGATTAGGTTAATTCTGTTGAAGAAATCCACCACGTGAACAGCAATCCAGTCATTGAGGTTCTCGCCTTCTGGGAGCTGAACTACTTTCCTCAGGTCCAAGCCAGATTTGAGCGAAGCCTGGGCCTTCTTGTACAGTTCAAACCGCTGCGTACCGGGCTCAAAGCGCTTCTTTGGCCTAAATGTTTTGTCTTTGCTAAACACTTGACCAAGACACAATGCCATTGACTCAGTTATTTCCCCTGAGATAAGGGGAGAGTGCGCAATGATGAAAAATAATTAGGTTGGAGTATGAGAACGTGTAGCCTTCCTGGGAGAGGGGAACCAGTCTGATTTCAGCTCTTGGAATGGTCACAGGTGGTTAGCGTCTGTCGTGTAGAGACTGCAAGGAGCTCTTGTTTTCATTTGGCACGATGGCACTGTGAAGACAATAACAGGCATGTTTTGGGGTGAATAAAACATAAAAGATAAAACAATTCATGCAATATTTAATTACAACAATTGTTATAGCTACCATAAAGTAAAAAAAACAAAACAAAAACCTACATTTTCCTAAAGAAGACCAGCTAAAATGTTTTTTTATAGTCACAGCTGCTCTTTGTGACCCAAATGACCTCAAAGCAAAGTTTTCAGTTGCAGCTACCAGTAAAAATAGCAACACTTTCAGTCTGCTGTACCAAAAGTCAGGCCAATTGAGTCAGGCATAACTGGGAAAATGAATAGTATGCTGTG